TTAATAAATAGTTAATTTTATGATTTAAATTCAAACAAAAAATCTATTTAAACCTTTTATTTAATTAAATATTTTTTTTTAATATAAAAAATACATTTTTATTACAAGAAAAATCTTTCAATTATTAATTTTTATCTTATATTTATTTATCATCGATCATAATATCATTTTAATTTTCTAAATCTTTTAAATATTTTTACAAAAGACTTTAGACTTGATCTTAAAAATATGTTTTTTTTGCCTCATTTTCATTAAAATAATTTATTAATTCAATTAATAATTAAGTTTTAACAAATACAAAATCATCTTCTATAATTAATTAATGATTTATTTTTTCAAATGACTTTCCCTTTTTTATATTAAGTAAACATATTTTTTTTACTTTTTACTTTTTATTTAATAAAAAATTAAAATTAATCTTTAATTGAAAAGCAAATAAAAAAATTTCCTTAGATAATTTTCTTTTTTATAATGATAAATAATATTATTAAGCTTTCATTAATAGACATTATTATTCTTATTAATTATTTTCTTTTTATTTAATTATAAATCCTATAATTGATTATCCATTACTAAAATTATGAAACTAGTATGTTTTATAAATAAAATAAATATATATATATATATATATATATATATATATATATATATATATATATATATATATATATATTATTTTTACGTCTTCAATACAGTTTTCAACTTTAATTAATTCATTATTAAATAAATCCTAATCAAATTTTTAGAATGTTTTCGGGCAAACAAAATTTATAATATGGTTTTCATTAGTTAAAATCTATTTTATTTATATTTAATTTTATATTTTTTTTTTTTTTTAATTATCATTATTTACATATCCAAATAATAAACCAAAACTTTTTTATTATTTTTAGAATTCGTTTAACTAAGAAGAAATTTTAAGCAACATTATTTCTTTGTATATTTTTCTAAATTTTTTATTTATTAATATATCTTAAATTATTTTATTAATATTAAAAAAAATATAAATATCAAAGATATGAAGCAAAAATCAAAGATATTACATAAAAAATAATATATTTTAAAAAATTACAAAAATCTTAATTTAGTTAAATTTGATATAATATTAAAATAATTTTGATAATTTATTACTTTTATTCATTTTTTTATTGTTTTTAAATTCTAAATCATTTTTTTTTTATTATGTAACTAATATAAATTCGGATAAATAATATTATTTAAAATAATATATTGATATTTCTATTCTTTGAAAAAAAAAAAAAGTAAAACCTTAATTTTTTATTAATTTAAATTTTTTACAAAAACATTTATATTTAAAATGTTTAATTATATTAAATTAACGAAAAAAACAATTTTTATTTTTTATTATTTTATTATTATCATTTGAATTAATAAAAAAAATAAAAAATTATAATCTATAAAAAAAAAAAAAATATTTATATATATATTAACAAAAACCTAAAAAATGAACAAATTAAACTAAAATATGTCAAATAGTCCTTTTAATAAAAGTTAAATATTCAATAGATATAATTAGTTATTTCAACAAAATTAATAAATAAATAAATATTTTTTAAAAATTAATAGTAACGTTACATAAAAAATACTAGCAAATAGTAGAGATTCTGACGATAAATAACCAAATTAATCGATAATGTAATCTGCAAGAAATAATAATCAAAACCAAAATACTATTTTAACATAAAAACAGCAAACTACAAACAGTTAAAATGTTTTAAAAAATATATATAATCTAAACCAAATATCAAAGAATAAATCAAATTCATTTTATTGCTTTGAGAAAATTTAAAATATGAAATAAATTTAAAAAGCTGAATAAGCTTAAAAATAAATAAACAAAAATTTATTAATAAAACATTAGAATAAATAAGAAAATAATATTGAGAATTTTTACATTTAAAATAAAAAAAAAACAATTCAAACATAATTTCTTCTTATTATATAAATGCTTTAAATAATAACATTTTTTGAAAATAAAATAATATCCCATTAAATAATAATAAATAAAATACAATAAATTAATCACCAAATTAAAATTATTCTCCTTTAAAAAATCAAAATAGTTATTAAGAAATGCTAAATTCTTCTTTTAAAATAAGCACTTAGCCTTCAAATCATACACCGAAAAAATACTCTTTATAATTAAATGCAAAAAATAATTAAAAGGAAAGCTAAAAAACTTCTTTTTAAAATTAAAATCACATTATTTAATAAAATACAAAAAATAATAATAATAATTATTTTAACCATAATAATAATACTATTAATATAGAAGAAATTAAAAAAATTAAAAATGAAATAGAAATACTTAAAAGTAGGGAAATTAAATATCTAATAAAAATATCGCATTTAGAAAAAGAAAATACTATTGTAAAAGAATTATTAGAAAAATCAAATAATAATAATAAAAATTTATAAAGTGATATAAATATAATAAATAATAATAATTAAAAACAGAAAAATTAAAATAGATAAACAATTTTTAATAAATTTAATTATGTAAATGAAAATTAAAATGATAATAATAATATCTAAAATTTATTAAATTAAAATAAATAAAATTGTTAAAAAAATTGTATATAAGTATAAAATAAAAAATTGTTAGAATACTGTATTGAATATGAAAGATAAAATTAATAGAATAAATATGAAAAATAGTATATGATAGAATTTTTAAACAAATCAAATATATAAAACACAAATAGTATATTAAAAGTGTTAAATTTTAAAAATATTATATGATATATGTTTATTTAATTAATTTTAAATATATTTTTTTAATACTTTATATATATATATTCATAAAAAAACATTTAAAATTAATGTAAAAAAAAAAATTCAAATAAAAATAAAAAAATATATATATAGAATTAAATATAATTATGAATCAAATATAATATGAATATATATATATTTATTTTTACTAATATATATATAATATACATTTAAATATATAATATATATATATATATATATATATATATATTATATATTTATATTTTTTATATTTATCTTTTCATATATTTATTTATACATATTTATATTTATTTATATTAATATTTTATTTTATTTTTCTAAAAAAATATTATTTTTATATAATAATAATTTTTACATAATTCTTATTTTTTTAAGTATATTATATTTATATTTCCTTTCATAATATTTATTTTTTATACTCATATTTTTATTTACTATTTTTTTTTATTCTTTAATTAAATTTCTTATATAATTTGTAAACATAATTTTCATTATAATTTTTTATTTATTTTTAATTTATTTTGATTTTTAATTTTAAATATTAAAAGTATTAAACATTAAACTATTTCTTTTTTACTAGAAAAAATTAAAAACTTTTTTTTCTTTCATATTTAAAAACATTTATATACTTTATACTATAATTACTAAAATTATTTTAAAAAATGTTTATTTTATTTTAAATTAAATTAGATTATTAACTATTTTATTTTTATTTATTATTTTTTAACTAAATTTTATTATATTTAATTCAAAAAAAATTAATATTAAATTTCTTTGTTAATTTAATATACAAATATTTTTTATATACTAATTTATTTTATTAATATTCTTATTTATTATTTAGATTTATTTTTATTTTTTCTAATATATTGATTTCTTGAATAAATTTAATAATATAATAAAAAAATTTCTTTTATACAAAATTTATCATAATCAAATAATTTTATATTTTATTTTTCTTTAGAGATTAATTAATTTTATTCCCTTCTAATTTATTTATTTTCTTTTTTAATTAATTATATTTCCTATAATTAATATTTTACTTTAATACTTAAAATTTAGATATTTTAGATATACTTAAATTTGTGTCTATTTAAAATTTTTAACTCATATTTATTTGTATTATCTTTATATTTTATTCTTAATATACTGTACATACATATAGTATTCATATATTTTATTTTTAATATATTTATTTATTCATTAATAATCACAAAAATACATGTTATTATAGTTTTAATTATTACGTTAATTATTCTTTTTCTTAATTTAACTTTAGTATGTTTCCATCTAAATTCTTGATTTCTTATAGGATTTTCCTAAATTTAATATATTATTTTTCATAGTATCTAATTTAATTTCTATTCATTAATCTTTTGTTTTTTAAAGAGAAAATAAAATAAAGTTTATTTTAAAAAATATATATAATATTTAAGCTAAATCTAACTTGATTTTTTACAAGTTTTTTTTATTTAATTTTTGAATGATAATAATTTTTAATATTTATTTTAAATATTTTCTTAATTATAACAAAATAAATTAATATTAAACATATAAACTTCTTCGAGATTTATCATTTAATTTGTATATTTTTTTTAACAATTCTCATATACATAATTCACAATTAATTATAAAATTTAAGTTTTTAATTTTTATATACTTATAAAAAAAAAAAACTAAACTTTTTTTTTCTAAAATTTAATTTTCTATATATCTAATTAATCTTAGAAGTTGATTTTATATTTATATCTAAAATAAAAATATTTAATATTATTTTATTTAATCTAAATAACTAAAATATAAAACAATGGCTATAATTATCAAACAAAGATAACTTATTAATTTTTAATATTTATCTTTTGAAGCTTAAAAAGAGATTTTTTTCTTTATTATTCTTTTAAAATCTTTATATTTTTAAAGATAATATTATTCTATTAAATAAAAAGATATATGTAAAATAATTTATTATTATGTAAAATTTTATTAAAAATAACTATAATGCATATTATTTTTAAATCTTCTAGCATTAAAAATATAATCCTGTATAAAAAATACACAATAAATAAATTTCATTTAACTATGTGAAAATTTTTTTTCATATTAAATAATTTATATAGAATTAAATAAAAAAAGTTAAATAAATTATTAAGTATTAAATAAAAAAAATGATATTAATATATAATTTTCTAACTTAAAACATAAATTAAAATTTAAACCCAATAATGGAACTCTAAGTAGGCTATTAAACATACGAATGGGGTAAAATCGGTTCTGAAAGTTTCGTATATAACCTTTTAAATAGTGAATAAAAATTGACAATATCAGAAAAAAAACCTTATGCAGAATTATGGATGGGAACTCACTAAAACTGTCCATCTTATATAAAAAATAAAAACTCAAAATAAAAAAGTTTAATAGAGGTAATAAAATCAAACCCAAAATATTATTTAGGGCAAAATAAAAATTACTAATTACCATTTTTATTTAAAGTATTAAGCGTAAACAAATCATTAAGTATTTAAGCTCATCCTGATAAAAAATTAGCAGAAAAATTACATATAAAATATCCTGAAATATATAAGGATGATAATCATAAACCTGAAATGTGTATTGCTTTGAGTGAATTTGAAACTTTTTGTAATTTTTGCAAACCAGAGGAAATTTTATAAAATATATAAGAAAATGAAGAATTAAGAAATTTAATTAACGACGAAAATGCAATTAATAATTTTGAATAAGTCTAAAGTAAAGAAAATTTGGAAATTTTATTGAAAAAAGTTATATATGCAGATATTTAAAATTTAGAAGTTTAAATTTTAAAATTAATTCAAAGAATAAAAAATAAAAAAATAAAAATATAAGAGATTAATTAGTACTTAGAATAAATGAATAATTCCCCAATAATGATGTAGGAATTTTCATTTAATATTTCCTTAATTATCTAAAACTATAACCTGGATAAGCTTTATTAATGGGAGCTAATGAACCTCATGCATATTTATCAGGTGATTGTATTGAATGTAAAATACTATATATATATATATAAATATAAATATATATATATATATTTATATATATATATATATTTAATTTTATATTTGCATAAGGTATGTCTTGTTCAGATAATGTTGTTAGAGCAGGACTTACTCCTAAATATATTGATAAAGAAACTTTGTGTTCTGTAATCTATTTAATTAAAATAAAAAAATTATATTTTTATTTTTATATATTAATAAAAATATTAATTAAAATTTTTATTCATTTTTATTTTATAAAAATGGTATTAAATATATATTCATTTTATTTAATTAGATGCTTACTTATTAAATGAAAAATCCTGATATTATTGAAAAATAAATTATTTTTTAAAATAATTAATAAAAAATAATATAATATTAACCTTTTAATTATTTGGAATTCGCTTGTTGGAATGTATAAATTAGTCATAATAATATTTTTAAATAAATTATTTTTAAAAATGCTAGTATTTTTATTATATTAGAAGGTTAATGCGATGTATTATGCGAATAGAAAAATATTATAAAATGTTAAAAAGGATCTGTATTTTTTGTTGCAGCAAATAAAAAATATTATTTTAATAATTGCATTAATTTAAAAGCATTTATATGTTATAGTAATATATGATACATATATATTTAAATTTTAATTATTTTTTAAAAAATTATAATAAAATTAATATTTCAATATTCTAATATATTATAATACATTTTAAATAATATATATGATTTAAAAAATAAAGAATTTTAAAAAAATAAAATATTTTAAATATAATATATAAATAAATAATAAATTTATATATATAAATATATATAAAAAATACTTTTATTTTATATATATGAATTAAATTTTTTATATTTATATATAATTAATTAATATTTAAATTATATTTAATAATAATTTTAATATAAATTTATATATATATGTATAATATTTATATATTTTAAATTTAAATAAAATTAATTTATATATATTAATTTCATTAAGTTATCACATATTTTACATTTTTAATTTTATTTTTCTTCTTCTAATTTTTCTAATTCTTCTAAAACATTTTCAATTAAATTATTTACATCCATTTTACCTGTTTTTTTAATATTCTCTAACCAAACTAGTCCAGCTTTTAAGTTTATTTTTATTTATCCATCTTCACTTCCTTCTAAATATAACTAAGCAGCATTATACTAATATAAAATTAATTAAAAAATATTTTTTTTTATTTTTTTTATTTTTATTAAAAATAAATAAACTTTATATATATGCCTTTATTTATTTTATAATTATTTAATGATTATTTAATTAAAATTACAATAAAAAAATATAATAAAAATTTATGTTTAATTAATATATATTTACCATTGAATGTATAAATTCAGCTGAAGCTGCCTAAGTAAACCATGCTAGTGCTTTTAATGGATTATACTCTACTATTTTTTTTCTAAATACATACATCCTAAATTATGTTAAGCTTCAACTAATCCTAACTCTGCTGCTTTTTTCATATATAAAAAATGTAAATCCACATTTTTTTCACAACCGCCTTTTCCTTCTTTATGACTTTTTTTTAATTAAAAAAAATATTTTTTATATATATGTTTACAAAATAGATAATTTAAAAAAAGCTTTAGGATTGTCCCAACTTGCTGCAATTAAATAACATTCATAAGCATATTAGGTATCAATTCCATTTCTCAAATCTCCATTTTCGGCCATTTCTCCTAAATAATATAATGATTAAAATGAGCCTTTTTCTACTACTTGATTAAATAGAATTTCTGACTACAACATCATATCTCGTTTATTTTTTTTTATTTTTTATCTGTAATATTTAATGCTACTTTGTATATTTCTTTTGCTGTTATATGCATTGCAGTTTTATGTTCACTTTCGGCTAATTCGATTATTTTTTCGTTCGCATTTCCAAATTCATTTTCATCTCCATTTTATATAGCCTCGAGTTTTTTTATATATAAAACATAATACTAAACTTCGAGTTTTTCTTCTTGTGTTTAGGCATTAATTTGAGCTTATTATAAAAATAAATTCATTATATTCGTATTTTTAGGATTTGCTTTTTTTTTTTTATAAGTTATTGTAAAATAATTAAAATAATACTCATGCTTCCTATAAATTGTTCAACTGCAAATTCGCATAATTTTTTTGCTGGAACTATCTTTAAAAGATCTTTTACAGATTATAATTCATAGCAATTCTCTAGTGTTTATTTTATTTCGGTATATATTTGGGAAAAAGCATCTTTTAATTATTCATTTTCATTTTTTTAAATTAAATTCTCGAGTTCTTTTGCAAGTTTATAATATCTTTTTTCTAATTATTTTTCTTTATTTTCTTATTCTTGTTTAAATGAAAATATGTTTTTTAATGAAAATTTGCTATATTCATTTTAACGTATTTGTTAAATAAATTATCTTCTTATTATATTTCTCATATTTTTTATTTAGATATATAAATATATTTTAATAATAATGTAATTTTGGAGTTTTTTAAGATTAACAAAATTAAATTTTATTTTTGAAAACCTTTTTTTAAATAAATATATTTTTTATAAAAATACAGTGTTAATTTTATAGAGAAGAATAAAAGAGTTAAATGATTTTTTCTTAAATTAACAAAGAAGATGTTTAATTAAATAAAATAATGTATAAATAAGTATTAAATATAAAGAAAAATAATTTTATATATATAATTTATTATTTCTTTTTATAAAAATATGTATTTTTAGTATAAAGAAGTATAATAGTTTATTGATTTTGAAAACAAATTAAAAGAAATAAATTAAACTAAAAAAATATAAATGAAACTTATAAATAAAATAAAGAAAATATAGATAAGAAATAAGTTTTTTAAAGAAATAAATTATTTTCATTTAAAATATTTTTTAATATAATACAAAAAAGATATTATAATTGAAAAATCAGCTTGAATTAGAAAAAAGAATAAAAACTTTAAAGGAATAATAAATACTAAATTAAGAAAAATAATAATAATAAATATTAAATTAAGAAAAATAATAATAAATATAAAATCAAGGGAAAGAATAAAATCAATAAAAAAAATCTTACAATTAATAATAAAAAATATAAAATAAATTATCAAGAAAAAATTTATAAAATTAAAGATTAAAACCAACAATAATAATAAGAAAAAATAATTTTTTATCTGATAAAAATTAAAATTTATAAATAAAAGAAAAGCTATAAGACATAGTAATATTATTATTATTTTTTTAAATAATAATATTTGTTTTAAAAAGGCTTTTAATTAAATAAAGAAAAATTAATAAAAAGAAAGAGATAATAAAAAAATAAAATTAATTTAAAAATAATATATAATAGAATAAAATAGAGAAAATATTTTTTAAACAAAAATTAAGATAGAGAATAAAAATAATTGATAATTGAAGCACGAAACTTAAAAAAAAAACAATAATTTTAGAAATTAATTTAAAAAAAAGATAACTTAAAGAAAATTAATTAAAAAAACTTTAATAAATAAAGGTAAAAATTTTTTAAAATAAGATAATTTATTATTTTATTTTTTAAATAAAAAAGAATATATAAATACAAAATGAATTTGAATATATAGAAAATTTAGAAGAAAAATAATATGAAACTTAAATAAGATTAAATAAATTCTAATAAAAAAAAATTAAAAAAAAAAAAATTAATAGAATAAATATAAAAATCTCAAGATTAAAAAATATAATAAAAAAAATTAGAAGAAAATCTAAAATAAAAAGAAAGAATTTTTTCATTAATATAAAAAAAATAAAAATATGAAAATTAAAAAGAATAAAATTAATTAAAGAAATATTAAGAATTATAAGAAAGAAATCTATTCAAAATTCTAAAAAATAATGATGTTAAAGAATAAATAGAAAGAAAAAAAGAATATATAATTATAAAATATAATTATTAGAATATGAAATATAAAAAAATTAGAAAAAGGAGATGAAATTAAGTATAAAAATTAAAAATATAATATAATTAAAAGTTATAAATAATAAAAAAGTTATTCAAAATATTTGTATTAGAAAAATTTATAAATATTTAAAAGATATATTTATTTATAAAAAATGCAAGATCTTCAAAATTATAAAAATTAAAAATTTAAGGTAGTAATAAAAAAATTATTTTAAAAAAAACTAATAAAAGAATATGTAATTTATATCTATGTCAGATTTAAAATAAAAACATCATGATAATTAATAGGATAAAGAAAAAATAAAATATTTTAGAATAAATCATTATAAAATATTAATCATGAAAAAAAATAAAAAAAAATAATAACTAATAGAATATAGGATAAAATATAAATTAAATATTTAAATAATTAAAAAATTCACATAAATAAAATTTATATAATTTAATTTATAAAGAAGAAGAAGAAGAAAATAAAAGATAATAAAACTTTATAAATATATAGAATATTTAATAAAAATAATAGATTGAAATAAACAATAGTTACGAAAGAATAAATTCTAAATAACGAATAATTTAATTATAAAAGTATAACAAAAAAAATATATATATATATATATATATTTATATATTTATAAATATATATATTTATATATTTATATATATATATATTTTTAGTTAATAAGACTAAGAAATTAAAGATTTTATTTAAAAGCATAATTTAAATGTTATTTGAATTGATATTTTAAATTTAATTACTATATAATATAAAATATATATTTTAAAAATATATAAATTTATTTCAATTTAATATATAAATTATAAAATATTATTATTATATATATAATATCCTATTTATATATTATTATTATTTAACATATATTTTTTTGATACATCAGTATTATTTTTTTTAATATATTTTAATTATATATTTACAATAGTATTTTACATTTATATAATATTATTTATAGTAATAAAATACTAATAAAATTAAATTATTAATCTTTTTTATCACCAATCTAAATTCATATGAGATCCATCACAATAAGGTCCTGCCTTTTAAAAATATAATAATTATATAAATAAATTATAATTATTTTTTATTTTATTTCTAATACTTCTGGATTATTTCTTTTACATCCACATAACATAGATCTTTATATAATATACAAAATAATATTATAGTATTTTATTAATTAATATATTTCACATAATTTAATCTTTTGCAATAAATTTTATTGGTTAAAATTTTGTTCCATTACATTCGTAATCACAAAATGGCTTTTATTATATTTATCTATTAGTTATATACTTAATTTATATTATTTATTACTTGAGTATCTGATAAACCACAAACACAATATAAATATTCTTAACCCTTTACTAATTTTCTCCTTTTATATAATTTATTTATATATATATGCTAATTAGTTTATATAAATTTAAATGTTTATTTTTTTACATTTGCTATATTAAATAAATATATATAAAAATACGAATATGGGAAAGGATTAGCTATATGTGATTTTTCCATTTTTTATTTATTTATACCTAATTTTTTACAAATTGTATTTTCTTGATTATTATTTTCTTTTTTAATATCTTTATTTATATTATCCATTTATATATATAAAAAAGTAAACAAAAATTTTATTTGAAAAAAATGAAAAGAAAAATATTTAATTATAAAAAAAAAGTAAAAAAAAAAAAAAAAACATTTTAATTTTTTTTTTTTTTTCAATTAATAAAAAATACTTATAAATATAAATAAATAATTCATTTAGAATTAATTTTTTATAATATATATTTTCTCCTAAATTAATTTATAGGAAGTACCGTTTCAGTTTTTTATCCTTTATTTTCAATAATTTTTGGCATCAAATTAATTTTTGTAGAAGATTTCCATGCCACTTTTTTCCCAGTAATAATATTTTAATATTATTTTAAATTGTTTCTCTATATTTTATCCATAGTATTCTATTTTAGTCTTAAATTAACTTAAAGTTATTAATTTTTTGTATTTTAAATTTATTTTTTATCATTCGTCACATTTTTATTTCTAATAGACTATAAAGTATACTTTCTATTAATTGAATTTTTATCAATATTATTAATATTAAAATCTTTGTAGAAATCAATATAATCATTTTAATTTTCCTAATTTATATCTTCATCTGAATTTGATATTTTGAGATTTTGAGATTTTTTTATATCAAATTTTTTATATAAAATATCAAAATTTCCATTCTCATTATTAAAATCTTCAAAAGCCCAGCTATATAAGCCGCCTTTTTTATTTAATTTACCTTCATTATTATTATTATTATTATTATTATTATTATTATTATTATTATTATTATTATTATTATTATTATTATCATATTTATTATTATAACTAGAATTAGAATTAATTTTTAATTTTTTTTCGAATTCTTTTAATTATCTCTCGAATCCTTCATTTGGGCACACTACACTTCTCTTATTTTTCACAAACTCATACATATCTATAAATCTCGCTTTTTTTTTTCTCATCAAATAAGCAATTAAACATGTAGAACTTCTACTAATTCCAGCGGCACAATGAATCAATACTGATCCTTTTTTTATTCCATTTTCTATATCATTATATACTTATTCAAAAAATTAGGAAATATTTTAACTTTCAACATCTAGCATGTCATATTGTTTGTGTGTTATATTATCTTTTTTTAAATAAGATATTCCTAATGAACTTGCAGTTGTTATTACAGTTTTTATGTTATTTTCATTTAAAAGATCAATGTCTTAGGCTGCGGTATAGTCTCCTAACCATATTGCACCTTAATCTTTTGTTTCTTTAACTATTTTATTACAGCTTTAATAATTTTAATATAAACTTTTCATTAAAAACATTTTTTTATATAATTTTTTGAAAAAAAAAAAAAAAAAAAAAAAAACTAATTATATATTTTTTTAAAAAATTATTTTTTTTTTTAAACAAAATAATAATTTTTTAACATTCTTTTCATTTAATAAATAGAAATTTTATTAAATTTAATTTTCCCTAAAAAAAAATAAAAAATTATATAAAATTTTTATAAAACCAACAAAATACAATAAATCAAAAATTAAAAAATGCAAATAAAAACCATAATAATATCCTTAACATTCTACCTAACATATATAAAATCTCTCCAAACACATAAATAAAGCATAAAAAATCCTCTTTAACAGTCTGGAATTTCCATATTCTATAGCGAAGATTCATTTACAAATATATTCTATGGTATTTCCTCAATTATAAAATAATAATCTAAAAATAAGACTATCCATTATATGAATAAATCAATAAACATAAACATAACAAATATAAATCTCTAAACATTCGAAATAGATAAAAAAAATAGCTATACTAAATTTTTATCAGACATAGAATTAGAAGTCAATATAAAAATCAAATAAATATAAGCTACTTTTGATTATGATTATATTCTTTTAAATTCCCTAAAATTCCATGATATTGGTTCTTTAGAAGATTAAAATTAATAAATATCTCTAATTGCTGATATAATAAATAAAAACGGAACTCTAAATATAAAATCATGTAAATTGCAAATAATTAAAGGACAAATATAGCTCCATTTTAATAAATTAATTGATAAAATAATCGCTTTAATACTCGTAGATTTTATAGATTTATTTTACGCCTTTTTCCACTAATCTATACAGACTTAATTAACAAAAATACTTGATAAACTAGGCTAAGAAATTCCCAAAAGTTATCCCATCCCCCATACAGATATCATATTAGACCTCTCTTTAACCGAAAATCCCCAACTATAACCCGGAGGTTTCATGTAAATCCCTCTATCAGGCAATACAAAGCATAAAAACGATTAAAACCCGTAAACTTTAGACCCTTATGGAAACTTTGAGATTTATTAAAATAGCTAAACATAAGTTTTTGTCGACTAAAGGGTATTCGAGCGATTTTTTGAATCTTTTTTATATTCAGGAGACTTTAAATATAATATCACATTACCAAGAGGACCTTAATCTCAAATAGATTTTAATAGTCGAGTTTTTTCAGCAATTTTTCCTAAAATGAAAGAACTAAAGGAAATAAAATATTTAATTTTCGAAATTTGTTTATTTAAAAATAACACTCCAGGTGTACTTTTTGGAAACGGATTTTTAGACATATAAGGGTTAGTGGGTTTTAAGGTATTTTTATCGGATATAGAAGGTCAAAATATACAGGAATATAATAAAAATTACGCAAATATAACTTTAGGTGGAAATTTCTAATTTCTAAATAATAATAATTATATAAATTTTAATGTTAATGATATTTAGTTTTATAATTTTTTTATTTAGGAAGAAGATTAAGGACTTTTTGATTAAAATTAAATTGAAAAACTATTCCCGATGTTTAGGTAAATGTGTAAAGATACACTTAATATGAACTTCTATAAAATGTTCTTGGATGTTAATAAAATTGTAGGAAATAATGTTGAAGAAATGGATGTAGATTTTTAAAATAATAATATACATTTTGACGTTTATTTTTGATTGTTTTTTAATTTTTTAATAATATTTTTTATTTATTTTATAAACAAATAAAAAAGTTAATATATTTCATTAGAAAAATTATAAACAATTTTTTGTAATTTAGTTTTAAATAAAAAAATAAAATATTAGTTTTAGTTTTGAAAAATTAAACTATTTAATAATATTATAAAACAAAATAATAAATTTATTTTTATTTTTATAAGATTTTTTATATGAAAAAAAATTATTATTTCAAAAATATATTAATATAAAAATAATATTATATTTCTATAAAAATAAAATATTTATTTTAAATATAAAATATAAAAAAAATATTTTTTTTATTTTATAGTTAAACATTAATTTATATATAAAAGTATAAATTAAATATTTTTGTATTATATTAATATAATATGAAAAGAAATTAAAAAATTAAAGGATAAAAATAATATATATTCGTAGTGAAAAAAAAAATAAAAATATATAAAAATGTAAAAAATCATTATTTATTTAAAATATTAATGATAATAAAAATTATATGTATATATATATAATTAGTTAACAATAATTTTACTTTATTATTAATCTATTTAAAAATAAAAATATTATATTATAAAGATAATTTATTTTCAAAAAAATAATAATATAAAGTTAAATAAAATAATATATATATATAGAAGAAATCTTATAATAAAATAATAATATAACTAAAATACAATTTATAAAATATAAAAATATAAAAAAAATGTTATATAGATTTAATAAAATGTATCATGAATTATTATAATTTATTAAATGTTATTTATTTATAAAAAAAAAAATATAAATATAAATGAATATTTATACATATTATTTAATTACATTCTTATTTATATATATTTTTAATAAAAATATTATCTATATATTTTAATATTAATTTTTAATTTAAAATAATTTTATATTATTATAATACATATAAATATCTAAATATTTTATATATTTTTAAAATAAATAGCATTTTATATATTATATTTTTTTTAAAAACATATATATATTAACAATAAAAAAATACATTAAAACATATATATAATTATAATAAAATATATATATATCATAAAAATATCATTTAAATATTTTTTCTTTTTAAACATCTAAATTAAAAATATAAAAAATGAAAATTACTAAAACAACTCCGAAAATTCCTAAACTTCTATTAAAATTGAACTTAAATTATTTAATTTATTTCGCCTTTACTAATCCTATTTGAAACTTTCCTTCGTCATAAATACTCATATATTTTTTTAAAAACACTGTGCCTAGTATAATTGTATCTTCCATCTCACTCATTTCTATAATTTATAGTCTTACATAATTTTTTTCTTTTTAAATATAATCTTCAGGTTATAAAGTTAATATATGTAATTTGTTATTAATATCTTTCATAGAAAAATACAAATCTGGATATTTCTATATATCATTACAATCACATATAATATTTTAAAAATTTTCATTTTATTATATAGATTAACAATTTATACCATATTCTTATTTCATAATTAATATCAAAGCATATATATCTCTTTAACCCATTACTATATTAGTTGTGCCAGTATCTATGAGTGCTTTTTTTTATTATTTTTCATATTAACTTATGTATTATTCTTCTTCTTCTTCTTCTTCGTTTTCATTTGTTTATATTTAATTTATTTCTTATATTTATTTTTCATCAGTTTATATAAATATTTCTTCTTTTTATAAATATTCAATTTAACTTAATTTATTTTAATTATTTTTGAAATAATTTACAAAAGAAAAATGTGGAATAAATCCAAAATCTTCTAAATTAATAATCCATTACTTTTAATTTTCGTCTACTTAAAAAAAACGATTTTTTCCCCATCCTCTATATAGTCCTAGTCATAGCCTCCTATAAGTAAAAAACTATCATCTTAATATTTTGAAAAATAGAAAGAAAATTAATCTAATTCAATTAATTTCTTAACCCTTAAAAGTCCTATAAAAGACTTATTTTATTCTTAAGAAGATAAAGCTAACCCAAATATTCCATCAATTTATAAATCTACTAAATTCTCAGTTTTTTCTGCCAAAATAAATTAATAACCTTACTAGACTATTTATTTACTATCAAAATCTAATAAAGATAAATAATCCACGGCTAGAGGCCCCTAGACGTTTCCTGATCCATAATTTATTTCATAAATATGCTATTAATTTACTAATTCACAGGAATCTTATTTATTATTAGAATATATGTCACATTTTCTTTTCTATTTTTTTATACAATTATCACATTATTCACCATACACCCATATATCTTCAGAACCTGTATCCATTATTACTCTAAATAATTAGTTAGAATTTTTTCCTAAGTATAAATTTCCAACATAATATGTATTTTAGTTGTATTCTATAATATTTATTAATAAATTAAAATTTATATTTACATTTTTCAGTTAATTATATTCTAATTTGTTTATCAGATAACAAATAGTTATCTTATTATTAGAAAGATTATGAAAAAAATCTAATTATTAAAAAAAAATATAAAATATATGTAACATTTAAAGAAATATATTTTCTCATAATATGCAATTTGTAATTTTTTTTTTAATTTTGAATATAAATTATTATAAAAAAATAATTATAAAAATATCATTAAGAATAAATATGTATATTAAATTATATATATCTATATTTATAAACATTTTTATATTGAAATATTAATATTAATATTTATTTCTTTCTTTTTCATATTAATATCAAAATTTTATTATTTTGTTTATTAAATTTTATATAAATATATAATAAAAAATAAATATATATAATTTTTACCTTTATAATTAAAATAAAATAAACAATTTTTATATAATTATTATTTTTAGAATTTATTAAATGTTATAAATAATTATTATTAATATTTTAAATTAATTTTTTTAAATTTTTAATATTATAAATAAAGAAATATAAATATAAAATTTACTATTAAAAAAATAAAAAATAATAAAAAAAAAATATATAAAATATTATTATCTAAAAAATGTTTTGAAATGAAAAATTTAAAATAATATTCATAAAAAAATATAGAAATAATAAATGAATAATAAGAAATTAAAATAATAATAATATA